CCAACCCACTGCACCATCCATAACACACTCAAGTAGACCCAGACCCTAAAGACCTGGACATCTTGAGTACATGACTGTGACCAGGACAGGCTCCTCACTATAGGCAAAAAGCTGCCAGCAGACGGTACTGCCTGGTTTGGGGGTTGGTGGAGCAAGAGTGGGCCTCCCAGCCTGGTTAACAAGCATTCAGGGCAGGCCTAGGTTAGTCATGTTAGTTCTTCCTTGGGCTGAGCATAGACTTCCAGGAGCACCAGAAATGGGACCAGATGAAAGGGCCCCAACACCTACCCTTCCCAGCCTCTGCCTGGGGGGGTGCGCTCCAGCCTGGACACACACACCTCCCTTCTCAGACCCTCAGCACTTCCCCAGTCCCATCAAGAGCATCCTCACTGACCCTCCTGCTCTCTGCCAGCCCCACCAGCTCCTCTCCTGTCCTCTACCTTTTCTCCTCTGCACTCTCAGTCACTTCTGGTTTCAGGCTCGGATGTGCCCCCCACCTTTTCAGGTCTGGGTCTGGGCTCCTCCCCAGCACCAAGGCCTGGCGTTTGCCTCCTTCCAGGGCAGGCTCAGAGATGGGGCCTCACTGTTGTTTGGTGTTAGTACCCTCCTCCAGCAGGCCACTCTGCAGCAGGGGGCATGTACTGGGGGCCCGAAATAGGGAGGCTGTGAAGGCAGCAATGATGAGCAGGTTCCCGGCCACTGCCAAGCCTAGTGTGGCCACTATGCCCACCAGGCCCAGAGGCAGGTCCTGTGTGGCCAGCCAGGCTTTGCGAGATTCCATATCGGCTAGCACCGCCTCCAGCTGGAAGTGGGTGCCCAGCACTGCACAGATGTGGAATAGCTGGTGGCTGTGTCCTGTGGGGAGGGTGGGCAGGTCAGGGCACATACCCCATTCCCAGGCTGCCCCAACTCACCCTCTGACCCATGGCAAGTCACCCCATCCTCTAGGCCTGCTACTGTCCTAAAATTAGGAATAAGAAAATCTGATTCTAAGAATTATTGGAAGGAGTGAATGAGCTGATATGCATAAAACAATGCTTTAGCATACATGCTACCAATTTTGCTGTTATCTGAGAAGTGGGGGGTGGGCCAAGACTCTGAAGACCCTCCACTGACCCTGTCTTCTGGTTGTAATACGCCATTTACTCAGTTCAATCTCTGTGCTCTGGGAAGCTGTCTTCCCTTGCCCTTTCCTGGGCCAGGCCGGGCCTGCTCTCACCGATGTAGTCAAATCGTCCTGGTGCCAGCCGCTCAGGCAGGTGAGAGGCGAAGAGAAAACCAGTGAGCAGTGCGCACAAGAGGTGGTAGCCATGGTTGGTGCTCAGTGCCTCCTGCCCACAGCTGTGGCCCCTACCCCAGCACAGTCCCAGCTGGGAAAGGAAAAGCAGGGCTGAGCGGGAGGGGCTTGGGAAGTGGGCCCAGGTGTGTCTGGAATCTAATGGGTGGGGGGAGGGGACACAGCCAGGCTGGGTGCTGGGCCTGGGGGGTGGGCAGCAGGGCCAAGGTGAGGGATTGAGGGGGCAGGGCTTGAAGTGGCACTATGAGGGTCAGGACAGGAAAATAGGGGCCAGGCCAGGGGCCCCAGGCACCCTTACCCGATAGAAGAGTGGGAGGTTGTCAAACAGGAAGGGGTAAGCAAAGGCGCCTGTACGGAGGATCTTACTGAGTCCAGGGCTTTCCAGCTCAGGGAACCTGGGAGGCAGGAGGGAAAGGCTGATCACCATCCTGGTGCTAGGGTGGGGGTCAGAAGAAGGCAGGAGGCCTCTGACCAAGATAGACCGTCATTGTAGCTTAGTGACACATGACCCCTCTGTAAATGACCACGATCTGTGAAATGGGGATAAAGACGTTTTAGGTGGCTGGGAGAATTAAAGGAAACTGCAGGTTTGGTGCTAGCGCACAGGCTCTGGCACACAGTAAGTCTCAATAAATGGTCCGGGTGCTCTTAATGTTGTTCAAGAGCGATCCCAGGTGTCAGTGTGACTGCGAGCGCCCTGTCCTGTCCCTCTGCCTTCCCCTTCAACACTGGCCAAGAACCCACCGGGAGTAGCAGGAGAGGCCGGTGCACAGGAAAGAATTGAGGGCGGCGGCGGGCACAAAGAGCTGGTGCAGGCGGCTGTGCAGCCAGGAGGCCGGCATGGAGTAGGCGGCGTACGAGAAGGCGCAGCCTGGGGGGCGCAGGGCAGGAGCTGGGGCCGGACGCA